GCACACACATGTTTGGACAGGCCTTAAGTAGGCTGAGTGCTTGTGTAAAGGGTGGGGAATATTTCTGCTGAATAGAACCCAAGGTCAACCTATTGTGTGAGTTTGTATGTGAGAAGGGGAACAAAGGTTCTGGCTTCAATAAAATTAAATGAATTCATGTCTTGACTGGTATGTAGTCATTTAATTTTTATTACAGCCAGAACCTTCAGTCTGCCTCAGAAATGCACATTAAAAATATTATTGCTAGAAAACAGAGGGAGAGAAAAGCAATTATCCAACAAGATTTCAGCTGTCTGTCAGGTTAACTTCAATTCTGATTTAATTTTTTTTTCTAAAAGAAATTTATGTAATCAGTGAAAAATAAAATCCTATTATCTTTTTAGGGATCTATTTCTAGAGAATACCACCTGGGCCACCAAAGTATTAAAAGAAATTTGCAAAGGCTTGTATGAAGAAAGGGGTGAAATGGATTTTAGCTCGGGTAGCCACTTCCAAAGATCATCTCTAAGGCTCTGGGGTAGCACAAAGCAGAGACTGGGACAGGACAGCTTTGCTGCCTACTTTATATCAGCTTAGAGTTTTTGCAGTCACGTGTTCCCAAACTGTGATTTGTGGAGCATCTCTAAAGAATGAATGAGAAGCCAACAATGCATTTACTCCTGGTTCAACTGCATGTTTTACAGCCTTCTCAGAAGACCCAATTTTGTTACGACTGGTTTGACTCACATCACAGAGAATACCATCTTTCTCCACCCTTTTACTACTAAGGTTTGACAAAAGGGACACAGCGAGCTTAGGAAGGGACGAGCTTTGACAATTTGATTCCTTTGCTTTCTGTACTGCAGACAGCCTGGTCTGCGACTGGGCAGCTCCTATGTGTTATAGAAACAGTAATACATAACAGTAGGAAAAAAAAGCTGTATATAAAAACGGGGGTTTGTTCTGTTTTATTCTTAAAGGTACTAAGACACTCCCGGCTCATAGCATCCTCCAACTTACTTACTGATTTATTTGCATTATGAACCTTTGTAGAAGATTCTCCTGACATTTATGTGAAGGTGGTAAAAGTCCATTTTCAGTAATTACAAGTCCTCAGTAAATAAAAAAGTAAAATTTTCAGGGAATTACATGGTCTCATTGCACAAAAAAATAGTGTCAATAACTGTGGTCATTAATCCTACATCACTACACAAAACACATTCTTTTTGAGGTTTTCACACAGATTTAGAGCATGCCAAGAAAAAAAATCTGAAAGAAAGAAATACTTAAAAAAATATAAAACAGATCTCAAAACCAAAGTATCTATATGAAGGCTTTCTGCAAAATATTTCATTTTCAGGTTACTGTCTGCAAAGAAAGGTAGAGACAGGGAACTGTCATTTCCTGTTGTACCTTTAAGTAGCTACATTCAGTGAGGTCTAACTCCTCAGCTGTCTAATATGGAAGCCGCTGACATAGATAAAATTGGAGACATTTATCTTGGCACGTGACAAAGTGTCTTATCAGCCTCATTAGAGGCTTAGTACGTCTCATCAATCTTTAGTATACCCAGTGGTAAATGCTGCATGCCTGTCATTGGACAGGAATAGGCACATACCAGAGAGGCTAGGGTGATGATCTGTGTAGTCATGAATAAATTTTGTTTTAATAAAGGTGTCTAATGCTCACGAAAAGTGATAGCCTTGAAGAATGAGTCTTCTGTTTATCTACACAACAGGTGCAGGATAGCCAGTGTCAGTAGTTGCCAAATTGTCTCAAAACCTTGACGTGCAGTTACTGCGTCTCTGAGCAAGGTGGGTGCTCAAGACCATCTGTCCCTCTTTAGCTAGACTATCAAAAGAGATCCAGTTAAGGATGTTCGTAAGACGGATGGATGCGTGGAACTGGACCAAAATTACCAAGTTCACTTTGTGCAGGCCACCTAGGAACTGGCAAATGGAAATGACTTTACAATATTGCCAAGATAGTTAATTGGAATCACTGAAGTCCATTGAAAATTTAGTTTGCATAACAGCACGGTAAATCTGTAGCAAAGATAGAACAGACTCTCTCCTCCTTGGTCACTGTTTCTATGATTCGCCCAGATGACTTATGTTTGAAATAGCTATGCTCCACAGATCTGTTCTGGCTTATTTGGCTCCACTGAAGCATGTTTTTTGTCATACTGCAGATAATGGAAAATTCACAGATGAGGACTACAGTTGAATACAACATCAGCATGAGAGTCTCAATTACCTAATGAAGAAAATAAAACTATAAAGAATGGCCAGGTAATTGCAGAGCATGGAAATAAAGGAAATCAGAATCACATGGTGGGCACAGAGGAAAATAATTTCTTCCTAGGACCAGAAGCTGTAACAGAGGTCCAGCACAATATAAAGTCTTAAAGCTGCTCCTACTAAATGTTCTGACCAGGACACTAAAAGGAAAAAGAACTTACATTATTATAAAAAAAAGAAAAGTTAAAAAAATAAATCTAACACAACAATGTGAAATACAACTTCTAAGAGAAGATACTTATCTTAGCCTGTTTGGGGCCTAATAAATCCATGGCTTTTCTAGAAAGTAGTGAGAATAGGATCAGCTAGAGCATGGCTGGTACGAAATTGAAATCACGGAACTTCAGAAAGAGGAATATTTTCTAAATGCATACAGCAAATAGCAAAAAGGGGCAAAAACAATCAGTTCCAAGCTTGCCAAAAAGGCTTTGGCAAAAGACTGCAGTAATTTGTGACACAGGCCAAAAATTAACAAATACAGCTGCCCAGAGGAAGAAAAAAAAAAAAACACTGGCAACAAAAGACAGATGCTGACAAAGCTGGACTTGAAGAATTTGTATTTTATGTGGACCTGGTTTAAAACCAAACTGTGACTCTCAACTTACTCAGAAACAGTTTCAACTTGGCTAATACTCCACCCATTACAGACTACTGTGCAAATTTATTTTACTGAAGCATGAATCATTACAGCCCATACAAGTGTTTCTTTCCAAAAGCTTTGCTCAGAAATATTTATGGACTTAAAGGAAAATGTACTATGGCAATTGAAGTGTTTGCCAATTACAAACCATTTCATCAGCATATTCACAGATATATACAAGATTCCCTTATCATAGGCTGAGCCTTGATTCATCATTGATAGTCCAGTAGCACTGTACCAGCACAGTGGTGTACAAGCTACACCTCAGCGTGAATAAGGATTTTGCAAATCCCAAGGCAGCAGAAGAGCAGAACATCTCTTATTGTTGCTGGCCTTTGAGATTCTATCAGAGAAGGCACCTTCAGACTGTCCTCTGGAATCCCAAGCAATCCGTATCTGTACAGCTCTCAAGCTGTTTCTTATTCTCCCCTTTTGGGCAGATGGCTACCGATTGCTGACTTGAACAATACATTTAGCTCCAAAGATACCAACTTTTCTACATTTAAGCTACTGGTATCAAGATGACACCCATGAATCTTAAACATAGACCAGTAACCAGCTCCTACATGGGGGTATGTACTCAACTGCATACCTGGAGTTATTCTAAGGAAGCGTTTTCCACTCTAGACTGGTTAATAGCAATGTACCTGCATTAATACAAACTCTCTATTTAATAAAAGACCTTCACTAAAGCTTATACTGGTGCAACTATCCCTACAGAATCAAATACATTGTTTCTTTTCTATGCTAGTTAATCAATTAATGATGAAATCAATTAATCATCATCCTTTAAACTGAGAGTACCACAACTAGAGAAAGCATTCTAGGACTGATGTAGTGCATACACCTTCCTCTACACAACCCAGCCACTGCTCCTAATGCATCCAAGGATATTGCCACTTCTCGCCACCAGCCATTCCTGATAACACTGGTTTTCCACTGTGAACTGTACTACTTTTTTCAGATATTCTTTCCAGGATGCAGTCCTCCATTCTGTGGGGAGGCCCTGCATTCTTTGTTCCTAGATGTACCACCTAGATGTTCTACTTGGCTGCATTAAAGCATATTTTATTGGAATAAGTCAGTACCTCAGATCACTCAGTGTAACTGAGAATAGAGTTTGGAGCCATCATGTTTAAATGAAAGTAATATGGATGGCTTCCAAATTCTGGGAAGGTTTGTTCCCCAGATTCATTCTGAGAGAGATTTGATATAAAAATGTAAATGAGAGCCAGGATTATTTATACTGAAAGATAAACAAAAGGATTACATTTCTAGCTATTAGGAACCAATGGAAATGTGTCTCTAAAATGACCTTACCTTTCATCTTGACCGAGTAAAAGGCAACAGCCTCGCCATTTCTCCAGAGTATCTTGGCACACTCAGTGGCAGAGTGAGGTAGAAAGAATGCATCATTAGCTGAACGCCCTTCCAGCTTTCCAAAAATAATGTAGTTCAGAACAAAGAGGACAATCCTTTCTCCAAATGTCTGGACCTTAGAGAACAAACAAAAACAGACTAAAGAAAAATGAAGCAGAGAATAGTATTTTGCATCATAAAAGGCTTCAAAATTAAAAGGGGCTGGGAGGGAGGAGGTCAAGAAATATGTACACTTAATTTGGGGAAAATACCTCATGAATTGGTTCACATAGAAGAACAAAAACAGTTCTTCCCAGTGTTCCACCCTCTATCCAGAGGGCATAGAATAATTTAGTAACAATTTATAAAGCTTGACATATCTCCTGTTGTCACAGAGAGGAATTCTAAAGCAGCAGTAAAAGAACTATCTTGACTGTAGTCACAGCAAACTAGTCACAGATTTGGAAACAGGATCAAGGCAATCTAATCCTACCCAGAAGTGAAATAAAGACAGGATTCACTGTGTTATCCTGGTCACCTCTCCCCTATTACCTGTCTTGCCACAGCATCAAAGAACTTTAGTGGGCCAGGACCTTACTGAGGTAGACACTACACAAAACAGAATAAATACAGTATGTCCCAAACAGTTCATAATCTAGGTGTAACATGAACAATTAGATTTTATGCCATGCTTCTTTCCAGACAACCAACAGAGCAGGGAGATGGAGCAATATAAAGGAACAAGATCATATTGGTCATCAAGGTAAAAAGTGGTGCCAACAAGCTTTATATGAATGCTGAAAAAGAAAATGAGAATTTCCACAAATAATGACAACCTACCTCTTAGCAATGAGCTAGAAGAGGCAAGTTTTCTATTTTCAGATATTTTTTCATTCTCTGTTGATATAGCAGATGCTTGAAAGCCTGAAAGCCGTGTTTCTGCTCCAAGTTCTATCTTGCAAGGATTTGTATCTCAAAATCCCTCCAGTTCAGTTACCCACAAAAAGCCTACTTAATTCAGTGAATAATTAAACTCTATG